CTTCTTTGTATGGCAAAATATAACTGCTTTCTGTCTTTTTTTTTGTTCTTGACAAGGCTATTTTAATCAGTCTCAGATCCTAGGGCCCTATATATGTAAACCGTTTCATTTTTCTCAAATTCCAGTTTTTTTTTCCGGTTTTGCTTTTCCTGGATTGCTTTTTTTTTAATCAACTTTATTTTAATAGTTAATTTTTTTTTAGTAAGCATGAAATCAATGAACTTTTTTTTTTTTACAATTTAACACAAATTTATTAAAGATTTAACAAACAAAAGCATTTGAAATGCATTTTTTTTCTCAAATTGAGTTTTATTTTGAACAAAATCTGTTTTAAATTTTCTAATGGCTTAATTAAATTGTATTTATAATAATTAAAAAGCATGTCTAATTAATTGAATGAATGAAACACTTTATTAAGTAAAAATTAAGTTTTTTTATTCAGAAATTCTGTGTTGTGTGTTTACGTTTTTCTGGCAATCAAATGAAATGCATATAACATTTTTAACTAATATAATTTCTCTTTTAATCATATGAAATTAAACTTGGACAAACAAAGAGCTTAACTGTTAAAAGAAAAACCTTGATTATTCCTTAAATTGTTTTAATAACAAAAATTACTATTGTTAGTGTCAGTTTTATTACATTGCGATCTACTGTACACTGTAAGAAAATATTGTTGGTTTAACTTAAAATTAAGGCAACCCAGGTTACTTACTTTAAGTTGATTGAACTGGAAAAAGTGAGTTAATACAGTGAAGGAGATTAATTTAATCATCAGAAACTCAAAATTATATGTTATCTGAACTAAATAAATTATTTAAGTTGATTTGACAAAAGAAAAAATGTTGATTACTACACTGTAAAAAAATATTGTTGGTTTAACTTAAAAAAGTAAGTAACCTGGTTGCCCTAAAATTTTAAGTTGATTGAACTGGAAAACGTGAGTAAATACAATGAAGGAGATTAATTTAACCATCAGAAATGTCAATTAAATAAATTATTATAAAGTTGATTTGACAAAAGAAAATATGTTGTGAAAACAAATCTTGAAAATATTTTTTACAGTGATACAACATTAAAATATTTCCGTCACAATTTCCTCAAGTTAACCAGACTTTTATTTCGAGGGGTTGCCGCGACGACTTGAGTTTCTGCGCCATTCGTTCACACCGAGACACGCAGGATTCATATTGAGTCTTTTAGTGGTTTAATATTCACAGACACTAGCCTATATCGTGATTTAAGTGTACTGACCTCTGCTTTTTATTCATATTTGACAAATTCAGTGAACTAGCTAAATGATATCCAAGTTTCGGATCATTATGTGAGTAACTTGTGGAGTAGTTCAGCACCTTTACATTTTAAAGAGCTTCTCCAAAACCAAGAGCTGTATGAGGGAGCAGAATGACGCTTTCCTTTTTTCCTTTTGTGAATTAAAGACAGAAAAGAGGGGGGAAACCATGCATTTTGTAAATTGCCATTGGCCTGAGCTCAAGGCGCAGTCGTTCTGGTAATGAAGGGTTAGAGCGGCATTATTGCTCCCAGATGCTTCTCCACGTCTCTTTGATGCAAACACACACACCACTTCATTTTTGGTTCAGCTCATATATAATACATTTTTGGGTTGGTTCATATATATAATACCATTATGGCTGTATATGTCCGTTCTGACGCAGACGCATGAACGTGTGTAAACATGCACATGTCTTAAGTGTGTGTTGTTTGTATAACCGCGAGAAGTGTGTTTATGAATCGAGTCAGAACTTCCTACGCTCTTATAATTGCGCTGGTATTAGTCACACCAAAAACAAAACAATGGAAATTATTCCCGGTTCAGTGTGTGTGGTTGATCTCTAGTTTTATAAGATAGATACGATGCGATGAAGGAGCGACATCTGAGTGTTGCTAGGAAGTGATTAGCCAGATTTTTTGGGTCGGATTCAAGAAACTTTACAAGACCGTATGGAGAATCATTCAGTGTGTGTGTGCGTGTGTTTTGGGAGCTGGGGAGGTCAGAGGTCACGACTGATATACACTGATGTCTGACTTCTCACCCGCTGATGACTTCCATGCGTGTGTGTGTGTGTGTGTGTGTGTAACCTGAGGTTATGTTTAGTCACAGCGCTGTGGTCTGTTGCTCTGTATATATGACTCTCTGTGGGGGTTTTTCTTTAAACACACACACACACACACACACGAAGTGTTGTGATATCAAGAGTTCTGCTAATTTTTTAATCTTTGTTGTCTGGGTTTGTTTGGATTCCCAGGGCAGATATATAGCAGATCCTCTTGATTTTTCTTTTTTATTTAACTTTAAAGGTTTCTTAAGCTGAGCTGTATGGGTGAATTTTACACAAAAAAAATGCCTGGGTCACAAAAAAGTTTATTTTTAAGAGGAAAATCGGTTTTTAGGACCATTAAAATGGTCTGAATTGTGTTAATTTTATTGTATTTTTTATTGTGTTTGCTTTTTGCACTTTAAGCTCTAATGCTTGACAATGCGTGCATTCACGTATGTGAAAAGTAATTTGCTTTTATATTATTTGTAACAGAAAAGGCAAACAATCAGCCTAAAATACTTTCTCATTTACCGTCAACATTCAGCAAATGCGCATCTACATCAATTAAACAAATCTCTGAATGTCTAATAAACATTTAATTTCACAAACCTGTTATTGTGTTTGCATTTTGCACTTTAAGCTCTAATGCTTGACAATGCGTGCATGCACGTCAAACCATTTAATATCACATAACATTTTATAGGTTACCGAATTTAGTTTAGTTAGTTAGTTAGATTAGTTTTTTAAAATCATTTTGAAAATGACTCCAATAGAGCTTGATTGTAACTCGACACCCTTGCCTCATTTAGTATGCGTGGTTCTATAAATATGCAAATGAGCCCCGCCTCTACTCACTCACTCACTCACTCACTCACTCAGAGATCCACTGGTTGGCAAACACGTTGATCTGATTGGTTATAAGGTGGTTTGTGACGTCAGAAACACCAGCAATTTCAAAACGTGTTTTTGAGACTGACTTTGGTTCAATACTCAGCAATGCTGTCGACTTATCAACTTACACATGATTTGTCTTAAAGCAGATTAAAAACACCACACACACACACAAACAACATTAAAACGAAGGAGAGGAATGACAGAATGATCACTGTTCCTTTAAGAGCGCAGCCATGATCTTTCTATCGTTTCCTCTTTTCCCTCCTTTCCTCAAGTCTCTCCAGTCTCAAATCTGGCTGAGCAAAAGGAAAAGTGTGAGTCACTGAGCAACTGCTCCCCAGTCAGAAACTTTGTGTGTGTGTGTGTGTGTGTGTCTACAAATTTGTACCCAGAAGTGTCCAAAATCTCCAAAACTCTCCCTTTAGGGACATCCTCATTTGTAAATCTGGCATAAAAATAAAGTACTTAAAGGTTTTCTAAAAATGTAAAAATGCAGAAAGTTTTGTGTGATTATGTGTGTGTGTGTGTGAGAGTGATGGGTAGGTTTAGGGGTCGGGTTATATACAGTTTGTACAGTATAAAAACCATTACGCCTATTAGATACCCAAGTAAACGTGTGTGTGGAGAAGACGGTTGCCATGGCTACATAGATGACGTCATCCCTTCTGCACCGTGGCGACTGTATGTTTTATGATTGTGATGACGAGCAGCGAACACACTCGGAAAACCCCCGAAACTGACGAAAACCCCCAAACGGAGAAGAGCTCAAACTGTGCAATCAAACTCAGAGAGGTCTTTAATGCCGCTGTGGTGGACCAGACTCGACCGCTCGCCCGCCCTGACGGGTTATTTTAGGTCTGTCGACTCTAATCAGTTCCAGCCGCGTGTGGCGGAGACTGAACATCACTCGTATATATATATATACACACACACACACACACACACACACACACACACTCTGGGGCTATTTTTCCCTCTGCACTCTTTCTCTGTTACTGTAGTCACTCATCAATGTTATTATCACTCAGGGAAATGATACGAATAAAGCTTTTACACTAATGTTGTGTCCTAAATTACACACTTCTATACACTTATACGTGTAGTGTATGCATTTTATAAGGTTATTTTGTCATTCAACATCGGAGACTGAGGCTCCTCCCCTTTCACTACGTAATTAAATCTGCGACAGTCGAGTGCATGGGGTGTCCAACATTACACACTTATGCTATGTCCGAAATCAGTAGTGGACTATATAGAGAGCTCGCCATTTTGTAATGCTGTCCGAATGTATAGTGATGATTATTATACCCTATATAGTCCACTCAATGTATCCCAGAATGCATTTTGAAAAGTAGCGTCCAACCGATGGTCACTACCCCAAGCCCTACATACCATCATGCATTGCGTTGATCGTAAAAATAAGTTATAATCATGTGTGGAGTAGCTCATTATAATAAAAACGGCCAGAAATCACTTTTAGTTTTCAAATTTTGGAGAAATAAGCTCAATATAATGTAATGTATTTATTTTAAAAAATATATTTAGCCCAGAGCCGGCTCGGCACCAGCTGACAGATGATGTAATCGAGTAGTGTCCGAAAGTGGTGTTTCTATTATGCTGGTGAGCTCACTATATAGTGCTCTGCTCTCTACCCCATATATAGGGGGTAGGGAGGGAGATTTCGGACGCAGCATTTGTCGTTTAATTAAGTGCATCATCCGGGTATTTAAAATGTAGCCTCTGAGGTGAAATCCTGCTATTAATGTTGTTAAGATCAACGTGATTCTGCATTTCTCTCCGATACGGTGGGAAACTAAATGTGACAAGATGATTGACAGGTCAGTTTACTGTGTCAGGATGAGATATTGAGAGAAAAGGTTAAAGACGCAATTGTATGATGTGATAGCGTGTCCAAAAGCTTCTGCTACACACTCAAAAGTATGCACTTTTTCCTTCACAGAAAGAGCATACTTTAAGGATATTGAGACACAGCATCAGTCTTTCAGGTTTCATTAATCTCAGTCAACTCTGTTGCGCCCCCTGCAGGAGAAAGAGAAGAAGTACATGCTGCAGGTGGACAATCTGAAGCTCAGAGATGTGGAGAAGGGCTTCATGTCCAGCAAACACATCTTTGCCCTGTTCAACACTGAGCAAAGGTCAGAGGTCATGAAAAATGTCTTGCACAATCTGCTTTACTTTTATAATGTGATGTTTGGCCCCTCTTTTTAATCGCCTTTTTTCATACAGCACATTTTAGTAAGATCATAAATTAAGTATGATTTGAAAGCTTACACACTCGAAATTCATCCTGTGAAAACGATTTTAAAATTGGACGTTGCGTTACCATAGAAACGGTACTCTGAATTCTTTTTCCGGGCTCATCCTCTATTGGGCGGCGTTAGCTTTTATATTACAAAATTTATTTTAACTACTTTATAAATCAAAACCTTTTCTAATCTTGACCAAACACACATTGTCAGAAAGGTCTGAGTCTCAAGGTTCCATATTTTGTGATATTTGGACAGAAATGTTGTAATTTGATACAGGAGAATGCATAAAAAAATAAAAATCAACAGAATTTTGGTATTACGCCTAAACAAAATCTCATGTGAACTTCCATTTTTGTAAAATATCAACTTCAATGGTTAGACATATGGCTTTGATTTTATGTTAATTTTATTGCAAAACATTTTGTAAAATATATATATAAAATAAGTACATTTGGTGGCTTTCACTTGGACGACTAAACTTGTATATTGAATAACAACCATTTAAGTTTAAGTTTAATATTGATATATATGTCATACATATGTGTTTTATATTTATATATGGATATGTTTAAAACATATTTGTTGCAAAATATGTTTTAAAATTACTATAAAATCAAAGCCGTATGTCTAACCAAGATTTGTTTCAAATTTCCAAAGTTGATGTCACAAAAATGTAAGTTCACATGAGATTTTGTTTAGGCGTAATACCAAGCAAATGTATTAGATGTTAAATGTGAAATCTTTGGCTCCTAAATGATCAACATGTTCAAAACAAAATCTCATGTGAACTTTTGGAAATTTGAAACAACTAGGTTAGACACACGGCTTTGATTTTATAGTAAAACATATTTTGCAAAATAAATATTTTTATAAACAGTTTTTTAATTTACAGTAAATTTTCTCATACTTTAATTTTTACTTAACTTCATACTTGCGTACTTAACTTTAATAACATAGGTCTATATTCCAAAAGCATTTTTAAATTACAACCATTTATGTTTGGATAGTGTATTTTCACGTTACAGTTTAGGGGTTAAAAACGCCTAGCTAAAAATGCCTAAACTACCAATCAGAAGCCAAAGACTTCACTGTTAACATGTAGTGATCTGCTTGCGTGACAGGAACGTGTATAAGGACTACCGTCAGCTGGAGTTGGCCTGTGAGAGTCAGGAGGACGTGGACGGCTGGAAGGCGTCGTTCCTGCGCGCCGGCGTTTACCCCGAGCGTGTGGTGGTTTGTGTTCATCTTTATTGCTTCTTTTTATAACAAAGCGACAAAAAAAAAACAAAAAAACAAAAAAAAAATCAAACTTGATTGAGGTCCGTGGGCCGAAAGAAAAATTCAATTCAATTCACAGTAAATTCAAATTTATTTATATAGCGCTTTTCACTATGCACATCGCTTTACAGAAAATGTCCATATTACAATTTACAGTGATCTGTAGAGGAAACCGACCTAAGTTATGCCAGACTGATCTCATGAAGTAGCGCGTGTATGACACGCCAATTCGTATTTCCATTTTTGGCGTGCTATCAACAAATCGCTTTTCAGCGTGTTTATGAACGCCGTTGACTTAACGTTATTACTGTATATATAAATGTATGACTTACCTCAACCCCGCCCCTAAACCTACCCGTCAATTGGGGTTAATGGCATTTATGACTGTTCCCTTACCATCCTAGAAAAAAAAAAGATCACTCCCCAGATGTAGATCTACATTTTGCTTAATTTCGCGCGGACATTTGACGGCGTGTACAGACACGCGGAATCACTCGGACGTTAATGGCGTAGACATACACGCGGATAGCTCAAAATGCGTATAGATAACACTAGGGTTGGGTATCGAGAATCGAGTATCGATTGGAACCGGGACCAACTTTTCGTTTTTCCCGAAATCGTTCAAAAGTTAAAATTTCGATTCCTAGTTTCGATACTCACAGTCCGCCGAGCTGAAGAAGAAACCGCTGAACAACACCAACGAAGAAGCGTCTACCGGAAGTGTTGGCATAACCGCGCAAGTCGAACATGAGTAGCTTACGTCGGCGGTCCAAAGTGTGGCTTCACTTTTCTAAAAATAACGAAATCTCGGCAAAATGCAAAATTTGTGACAAAAGGAGTACTTGTGACAGAAGGAGTATTTCCTTCAGAAAGGATTATTTCCTTCCGAAAGACCGTTCGTTAGCAAGGTTAGCTAAACTTTTTTGACCCTGCCTCTTAAAAGAATCGAAATCGAGAATCGTTAGGAACCGGAATCGAAACAAGGAATCGGAATCGGAATCAGAATCGTTCAAATTCAAACGATACCCAACCCTAGATAACACGCCACTTGACTCGAAAGTGCCGTGTATTTTTACGCAAAAGTCATGATGTCATGTTGGTTATGCATTGCAGAAATGTGCATATACAAAAATCACAGCTAGCTGAAAAAGTAGGCTATTAATTTAAACAATGTAGTAATTAAATGCAGAAACAATGACCTCATTGAAGTAATGAATACTTGTTTGTTAAATGATTACGACGTTTAGAAAAATGTAGTATTGGTGCATGTTGATAGTAATAACAAACTTCTATATTTACATGTAAAGTGGTTAGCCTTGCTTCCCCTGATTTATGATTTCATAATTTTAAAACGTTAAATAATCTGCTTAACTAATCGATTTTTATTTTCAAAGTTTGCTGTGAAATATTGCTGACTTGTGCGCCCTCTTTACACTCGTCCTCATGCCTGATAGGTGTCCGTGGAGTTGCCTGTATTTGGTGTTGAAAATGAAAACGTCTTTAGACAGAAAATTGATTTTACAATCGATTCAATGAACACTTATGTCTAAAAAAATTGATTTTTTCACAAAAGTGACAGCCCTAATCTGCAGGATAAATGAAGATGTGCTTTTCTCTCTCTCTCTCTCACACGCTGCTTCCGGTTAAATCACACTAGGAGAAGGAAAAGGTACAAGCATTTTATACTACATCTGTATCGTTTGCATTTGCGTTGTGCATTTTCCCCAGATCTCTGATTGTGTGTGTAGAGTGACGCCGGGGAAGAGAACGGTTCGGACGGGTTCATGCACTCCTTGGACCCTCAGCTGGAGCGGCAGGTGGAGACCATCCGAAACCTGGTGGACTCGTACATGAGCATCGTCAACAAGACTGTACGAGACCTGATGCCCAAGACCATCATGCACCTGATGATTAACAACGTAAGCCTCGTCTATGTTGAGCAGAAGCGCTCATGATGTTGCTCTATGGTAGCCTAGTGGTTACATAGTGAGGGAACCCCTCTCAATTGGTATGAGGATAAATTCAATTTAAAGTACAAAGGTACAATGTCTGTCTATTTCTGTCTGATGAAAGTAACTGTATTCCAAATACTCATAATTTAAAGTTTATTTGTTAATGGCATCTAAGTCAGTCCGCTCTGGTTACCAATGATAGGTGGGTGGGGAGGTGTTGGTGGTGGGATGGACCCCGATTTATAAGCTATTGCTTCTTGGGGATCCATTTTCACAATAGAATATATCTGTTTTCCTTATCAGTTGTTGGGAAAGTTACATTGATCTATGGTGTACTAAAGTAGTAGTTGCAATTGTAATGTGTGATGTACTGCATAATTTATACTGCTTCTGTCTATACTATGTATACCCCAACAACTGCTTCTGTCGAAGTAAAATGTACTGAGTTATTGTGAAATAAACTAAACTAAAACTAAACATATCAGGAGTATCAAATAGGGCTGAGAATTGGCCAAAATGTGACGATTCGATACTATTGCGATATTTGGGCCATATTCTATATTTATATTCTATATCTATATCTATATTTTGGGCCATAATTGCGATACAGCAAGTATTGCGTTTGGATTCTGCGATATTGCGACTCATGTCCCCCATATTATTTAAAGCCATTACAAAAAATAAGACTGCTCAAATCACTTCAAATGTCACATTTAATTCTGTAAACATTATCTTCTACACATTAACTGAAGAGGATAGTGATAAACTTAGTCCTTCATTCAGTACACATTTATTCTCTGAATTGGAGACCTCTCACATGAATGGTGAGCTTCCAGAGTCCCAGCACATAACTTCAAATTATTTAAATACAATAGAGTAACATAAAGCGGACATAGAGTGACATAAACCGGAAAATAAAAAATTAAAACAATCATTTTTTATAAAAAAACGAAATTTACCCTCACTTTCGATTTGAAAGAAGACGAAGCGTCCTGTGCAACCGGTTGTGATTGTGAACTAAGCCATTTTCATTTGAATTTGCTGTTGAATGCACAACTACAAAGCACCGCAACAAGCGCCACCTTGTGGATGTAGTACGTAAATGTAAATTATCAGAGTAAACTCAGAAAAAAACAATGGAGAAAACAGATAATTTTATAATTAAATATTGCAATACTTTTCGCTACTGTATCGATATAATTGCATGTGCAAAATATCGCGATATCGATCGATTATTTATATTAGGTTATTACAGCATTTAAAGAGCACAGACCTACGCAATGTGAAACGCCCAGTAAGAAATACTTTGCTTTTCAGGAAAAGTATTGAAAAAGTATCGAAATCGCGATTCTTGACTTGGTATCGCTTTCGAAACAATAATTTCAGTAATGTGACAACACTAATCCACACTATACTAAAAAACATTGATATTAATATCTAGGGCTGCAACGATTCGTCGGCGTTGTCGACAAAAATCGATAATAGAAATAGTCGACAATGAATTTTATTGTCGAATTGTCGCCAGACATGTTTTTTTTTTTCGACCGAGCACATTCGCTTCTCTGCTGAATGAGCGATAACATACAGAAATGGCAGTGTCCAACGCAGCAGCTGCACATACCAAAACATCTAAAGTTTGAGAGCATTTTAGCCTGGATACGGTGAATAAAAAGGTTACCTGTATCATGCAAAGCAGTCCTTGCTATCACGGCAGCACCTCGGTGATGCACGAACATTTAAAAAGAAAGCACGTCGGACAGTTGAATAAAACAGAGTTTGATTCGCCTCGATAAGATTTACTGTATTTTCCGCACTATAAGGCGAATTTAAAAGCCTTTAATCTTCTCAAAAAACGACAGTGTGCCTTATAATCCGGATCTTCTTAGACCAATTAGTTAACAACGCCCCGCGTTATTAAATTCGCCCGCAAACTCGCGCTCGTGTCCATCTTATGCCTGCTTTGTCACACGGCCAGTTCAACCTCGTATAAATCAGGTTATGTGTGTCTCCCGCTCACGAGCGCTCACTCTTCTTCACAGACACACTGTCCCCGGCGCTACTCGCGCGTCACAGAACGTTCATAAAGCGCTTCCCGTTCATAGTAACCGGGTCGTCTCACTCTCATTCATAACAGCCAGCTGTTGTGGCGAGCCGCCGCAATATATGAGTCAGGCTGCGAAAGTTACGTGCACGCCCCAGCGCGCTCACACTAGCTAATAAACGCCTCACCAGCTCCGGCGCCGCGCACTACATTCCCTTTAGTACATCTAGTTGATGCATAACGCAAAGTCGCAAACCCAGTCAAACGTGTGACTGCAGTATCTTATGCGCCTCATAATCCGGTGCGCCCTATATATGAAAAATGTTCTAAAATAGGTCATTCATTGAAGGTGCGCCTTAAAGTGCGGAAAATAGGGCAAATAACATGGAAGTCAATAGGTTTTGTTTTGGATCACGAGTAGTAAAGTTATTTTGCAACAGATTGACCACTGAATGTATTTCACAAAATGCATTTAATATTTTTGTTTACTGTTTTATTGCTGCTAATGTGCCTGCCCCTGGTTTAGCTACAGGAATAAAATGTTTACTTGATATTAATTTATTTTTTCTTGTAAAACAAATGTGCCTGGCCTTTATAAAAATGATAGAGTTTCTCTATTTATATATTTATGTCTATACTGACCAAGCACTCTGCCTAATTGGTTTTAGACAGGGCATTTTTTATTTACTTTTAGTATGAATCGGCCTATCAGCAGCAAAGTTCAATAAAATATGCATTTTTCATTGAAGTACCCCCTTCTTTCTTGTGTTTACTATCATTTTCCACAGAATTAAAGCAATTCATGCTAAATTTTAGAAAAATGTAATAATTATCCGATTAGTCGACTAATCGTTTCAATAGTCGGTGACTAGTCGACTATTAAAATAGTCGTTAGTTGCAGCCCTATTAATATCCTCTAACTCTGTGTGTGTGTTTGTGTGTTTATCAACGTGGAGCTGGTTTACGTGGTTTTAAAAGCCTGAAACACGGCTCAAGCTATGATCCACACTATACTAAAATTAAAATACACTGATAATAATATCTCTCAGACGAAGGAGTTCATCAACGCGGAGCTGTTGGCTCAGCTGTACTCGTGTGGAGACCAGAACACCCTGATGGAGGAGTCTGCGGACCAGGCGCAGCACCGGGACGAGATGCTCCGCATGTATCACGCTCTGAAAGAAGCGCTCCAGATCATCGGGGACATCAGCACCACCACCGTCACCACGGCCCTGCCTCCACCCGTGGACGACTCCTGGCTGCAGGTGCAGCGCTCCGGCTCCGGGGGAAGGTGCGTTCGGGAGACGCACAAGGGTTTTTAATCCTTAATGAATTAACTTTTTAATGGGGAATCAAAGTCTCAGGCATTCAATGTGTCTTTAGCTACACTGCCGTTCAAATCCGTACGATTTGGGTCTCTAATTATGCTCACCAAGGCTGCATTTATTTTGTTTCATTTCGTATTTATTTATAATTACGAAATGAATTTATTTTGTTTCATTTCGTAATTATTTATAATTAATACAGTATAATTAGCTTTGACTCCAAAAGCTAATTATACTGTATTTCTCCTGAAGGTTTGCACAGTACTTTTATTCTCTAACATCAAATAATGCCTTCAGAATTTGAATATAATAAAAATTTTGTGAATATTTAAGAAAAAAATTCTATTTTTTTTTTTTTGCATGTAAAATCACTTTTGTAAATTTAAGTTGATGTGGACACCAAAATGGTGACGTCTCGTTTTTGACCCAAACATGGTATTTTTATGCTTTAGAGTGAAAAAGTTATGTAATGTAATTTGAATTTTGTGGATATTTAAGAAAAAAAAATTAAAATAAAGTTGTTAATATTTCTACTCTCAATATTTCTCCATAAGGTCTCCGGCCGCCAGCCCGACCCCTCAGAGACGAGCTCCTCCTCCAGGACCCCCGGGACGCCCAGTTTCTCGTGGTTCGGCCCCGGTGCCCCCCGCTGCCGGCGGACCCCCCGTCCCCTCACGCCCGGGAGCCTCTCCAGACCCGTTCGGTGGACCCCCGCCTCAGGTCCCGTCCCGGCCTAACCGCGCACCGCCCGGCGTGCCCAGGTGAGACTGTCTGACTGTAGAAACTTCTGATGAAATAATGCATTTGTGCTGAAAAACCATCATAATGCGCTCAGATTTGAGGAGTGAGTGTTAAAGCTGCAGTGTGTAATTTCTGCAGCACTAGCGCCACCTAATGGAAATGCAATAGAGGACGACCAATTCCAGCTAATCTACATGAATACAGATACATTTGAAAATGGCTTATGTGTTTTAAAACACTCCATCCACACTGAAAAAATGGAAAATGCTAAAATTCCTATTAATGTTTATGAGTAAAATGTAATAAAAAGGGATGCATCGATGTGAAAATTTCGGCAGAGACGATAACACTAAATATTTAAAAGCCGATAACCAACAAATCTAAATCCTCATTTGCTAATTTGCATATTCATAGAACCGCATACTAAATCAGGCAACGGTGTCAAGTTACATTCAAGCTATTTTAAGGTATGAAAATATATATTAAATATTAGAGCCCGACCGATAAAGGATTTTGAAGGCCGATACCGATACAAATATTTTTGGGTTTTAAAATCCGATAAATCGGCCGATATTTTTTTTTTTATTAAATATTGTTGGATTTCTCACACGTGTAAAAGAAAAGCTAACTTTTCTGCACAAAATACGTTTGATACTTTTTCTCTATGTCTAAATGTTCACTCCTCGCAAGTATAACTTACATTTTACAATGCAGGGACTGTAACTAGAGATATGCTAGTTATAAATGCAGTAATCATTACTTTATTTAGGCAGAAAAGGTTCATTGTGGTTTCCAAGCTCATTAATGTTAACGTTAGCGGTCTTCCACTGATGATAGTGGCATTAGCTAGCTTTGTGGTTAACTAGTCTATGATGAGCCATAAGTTAGCAATAGATAACATCATACTGCAAATTGTAAAACATACATTTTCAATATAACAGGCAGAGGAGAGATGATTGAAGCGTGTTTCATCCGTTTTTATTTTATTTTTAAATATTCATTTATCGGCCATTTAACTGCCGATACCGATATTATGGAAAATGCCTAATATCGGCCGATAATATAAGCCGGCCGACATATCGGTCTGGCTCTATTAAATATGTATTCTTGGAAATCAAAGATAAGTTTCAAGGGATAAAATGATTGCCTACAAAGGGATTTTAACGATTAATCGTGCAGCTCTACTCACAACTATTCCAAAAAATAAAACGCCGTCTCAGTGTGGACAAAAGGCCAAAACTTAGAGAAAAGAAGCGTTTTCAAATGTATCCAGATTACTGTGCGTTCACACCACCGCCGCCGACGAGAGTGGCAAAATTCGCTCTGGGCACCCTGCCAATAATGCTGTGGAAAGTTTCGTGGACGCTCTGACGTAGATCGAATGCTTGGTCTTTTTAAAAATTGTATTAATAGGGGCCGCAAACAAGCATGGCAATCGCTATTTTTAAGACTCGATTACCATATATCTTACGTTATGGCCCCGTAGAAGAAGTTTTTTAAAAATAGGCTAATGATTTTGTCATAACACGCGACTCTCTGTCGTGAGAAATTACCGTATAGACAGGAGGAGAAAGCAATCGGGGGGACGTGGAGCCACTGGTGGCGGTGTGTGTGAACGCACCTTAAAGTCCCCGTGAACCGGAAGTTGCAAACGATTTTTCTCCAGTGCTGTGACGTATTTCCAAGTGAAACGGAATATTGAACAGAGGGCAGGGTTTTACTCTAGCGCTCCTCCTCTCCATCTCTCGCTCATAGCAAACTAACGGTTTGAGGGGAGTGGTTAAGCGTTTCCCCACCCAAGTTGTGTAACCTACGTCATCAGAAAAAGAAACCGTTCCAGACCGGAAGTAACTTTTCAGATTTTGATTAAAGATTACCAAGGTAAAACATTTTTTAAATATATTTTTACTTGCACGGATTAATTGTTCACCACAAGACTAGTAATATGCGCTAACAAAGTAAATAGGTTCAATTTTGATTTCACGGGGACTTTAAGTGTAGACGTAGCCTCTGTCTGATGTTGCAGCAATCACAACATAAAACAATGTACATGAAACATTGAAAAACTAACCTTCTGCCGTCTAATAAAAAACATCCGTTTGCTCTTAGCCGCGGAATGTGAGATTCTAGCCGGCGGAATAAGATGGTGTGGGTGAGTTAACCGTTCACCATACCAACGTTTAAACGATAAGCAGTCGCAGTCTTACCATCACTGAACTTATCAAAGTGCCATCAGATCATATTTAGATGTGCACAGTCTGCCGTCCTGCTTCTAACTCTTATTATCGTTCAAACGTTTGACTCACAATGTGTTCTCAGTAGGGCTGGGTGATGTAGAACAAAAATTCACAATGGTTTTTGCTTGTGATATGACATTTTGACATTAGGCTAGTTTAGATAGTTTCAGGTTCTCTTGTTGTCTCGTAACTCCAGTGTGTTCAGGCAGGTGTTTTAGAGCTGATGTTTGAAATGATTGTTCCTCAAAACATCATCAAATATCCGGCTTTTTAATGCTTTTAACTACTATATCACCCAGCTCTAATATTTAGCATCTCATCTATGAATGTGTCACTGAATTGACGTCTCGATCACATCAGCACACACACTCACGCTTCACTATCCGTCCAAAGGAAAGGTCACCATGAGGGATGGTTCTGCTCTCTTATGTTTGTTTTACTTTGTGTCCATTGCTGAACTTTTGTCTTCTGTTGCGTGTGATTTGAATCGTTCTAACACTGACGGTAAACGCTTGCTTCCTGACCACACACACACACACACTTCATTCGAACCCTAATTAAATCCTAAATGTAATGCTGAAGTCCCTAAGAAATGATTTGCCATGCTGATCTGCAAAACCTCTGACACGAAAATCGCAAAATCAGTTTTAAATATCCATCACTGCAAAAAATGCTTTTCTTACTTAGTATTTTTGTCTCGTTTCCAGTCTAAAAATTCTTAAATCAAGATGCATTTACTAAAGTAGTAAAATGCCATTAGATATTAAGTCTTGTTTTCTGGGGAAATAGATCGAAATTAAGATAGTTGTTGCTTAAAAAAAGCTAAAAAATTATCTGCCAATGGAGTCAGAAAAATAATTTTAATTTAAACAGAAACAAGTAAACAACTAATTTTGCTTGTTTAAGCAAAAACTTAATTTTGATTTATATCTTGATAGCATTGCATCTAGATTTCAGCATTTTTAGATATTTGGACTTGAAACAAGACAAAAATATGAAGAAAAGAATTTTTTTTTTTTTCGTTGTAGTATGACTTTTTTCTGACTCATTAAAACTGGCTGAGTAACGAGTAAACGAGAGGTTTTGGACGTCAGTCTCTGGTTAGCTTGGACTGGAGTAGTGTTCATGTTTGTGTGTTTCCTCCATGTTAACTGTGTGTGTGTGTGTGTGTGTGTCTTGCACATCCTTCTCTTCCTCCCTCCCATCGCTCTGGCTCAATCCCTACTGCTGATATTGATTATTTTTCACAGAATTACAATCAGTGACCAATGAGGAGTAACGCTTCTGGTACGTCTGTGGTTCTCTCGCCATTCCCCATTCCTTCTGCATGGCCGAGTGTCTCCGAGACCCTTCAACACGCACAACAAACACGCAGTCCAGGAATCATATATTAATATAAAACAACTTACTAATACGCACAGCTACTAAAGAAGCACTCAGACAGCCAGTGTTTGTGATTGACAATCGTTAGGGTTCACAAAAATCTTCATAAGAATGTTAAAAATATTAAATACAAATAAAAATAAGTGCCCCAATTATGAAGTTTTTGTCTTCTAAAATGAAATTAGCGTCAGTTATTCACTCTCACTTCTCGTAACAGTGTAACAAATTTGCATAATGTCAGCCTGTGCTTTTGATTGGCTGAACAGCGTCTCTTTGCTCCGCCCTCAAACACTGTAGTTGTATTGCATGTATCCGAGACTGGAAGAGTTTGGTTCGTGTTGTTCATGTTTTCTGCAGTAAATCCACTTTGGTGCACTTCTTGATAATGAGACTCACACTGAATTAATACGGAAAAACTTCAGATATAATAATGGGCGTTTTATTTACGACACACGCCGTAAACAGTCGACCAATCACAACAGACTGAGCCGTCTGGCCAATCACAGCAGAGCAGCTCTCAGAAAGGAGGAGTTTTTGAAAACGAACCGTGCACTGTATGAGAAAATTAAATTAACACAATAAAAATAAAATTAATTTGTAGCTAGTGTTATGTTAAGGTTAAGGACATAATTAAGAAGTATTTTTGGGAATACCAAATGTTTAAGAAACTGTGAGTGTGAATCCGGCCCTGTATAGACAGGAGCAGATGCAATAACGTCTATACGGACAGGTAACCAAAGTCAAACTCTTTAGACACAGCGTATAAACACACATGCTACAGCTGTTTTGCAGATCATATGCACATACACTTCTTGTCTTCCTCTCTGTGAAGGACAGATGGGCAGAATCTCTGAGATGCTGCACATTCCCTCAGGATACGAGATGTCAGACGAATCTCATCCTTCTCTCGCGGGTCAAAATGACCCGAAGCCTTTAAATTTTACTCTTTATTTTTTTGTCCATAAACCTTATTGAATTTTGCTAATATTTTTAATGCACTTTTTTGTTAATTTTTATTTACCTTAATTTGATTAAATAGTAATTTAAGCACATATTTCTCAATTTTTTTTAACTTAAATTCAAAATAACATCGTGTCCTAACTACACGCGACGTGATAAAATTCCAGCGACAGCAAGTGTGTCTGTCCACACTAGACGCGACACGACTGTGAGACGCCACACATTCAGAACAGCGTGTGGGCGGAGTCTCTCTGTGAAAGCGCACTGTTGGCCCGCACTCGCATTGGAAATGGGTAAGGACATAATCAAATCAACACTGTAAAAAAATATTGTTGGTTTAACTTAAAAAAGTAACTAACCTGGTTGCCTTAAAATTTTAAGTGCATTGAACTGGAAAAAGTGAGTTAATACAATGAAGTAACTCAAAATAATAAGTTCTCAACTAAATAAATTATTATAAAGTTGATTTGACAAAAGAAAATATGTTGTGATAACAAATCTCATAAAATATTTTTTACAGTGAAGAAATAACATTATTAAAAATCTAAACATTAACAAAATATACTCATTGACTAATTTTGTTATGAAGTACAGTCGTATGTTTGCATAGAATTCATTTTGAACGCTATATTACATGCTTTCAAAATCTGAGGTAAATTATCCGTTATCGCTTGTGGCACAGTGACCTATTTTTAACTAAAAATAAATAATGTGTACTCATAACCAGTGTAATTTCTTCATTCTGTCAGCCGCGACGTCGCAGAAATAGGAACCGTTTCTAAATTAGAAACTTTGCGTGTCGCCGTCGCGTCTGGTTAGGACAAAAACTCTGATTAACATGGAAAAGATACCTTTTATCGCGTGTCACGGTGTAACTCACAATTTCATGCATAACCCTTAAATTCAGCTCTAAATATCTTACATTGGGGTGTTTGTCGACCTCTGGTGGGAAAATAATTATAATAATATAACATGACATTTCATGACTCTTGCCACTAGATGGCCTTGAGCTGTTCCACTGGGTCCTAAAGTCAGCTTACTTCAGTGTGCATTCAGACACATGTGGACATTATAAAATCTTTTTTTTTTTGTTGTTAAAGTTGTAACATTTTTAGCTTGAATTTTGAGCATTTTTAGGTTTTTCTGTGTCCTGAAGCATTCCTCGCATTCTATTCATTCCTAAAGGAAGTCAAATTGACCCGAGGATTTGCTACTTTTTTTTTCAATTTAAACCAAAATACTACTCAAATATATTAATTTATGTGTGCGTATATTCGGGTTCAAGTGCGACAAAAGTCCTAGGATCTTGGACCCCTCTGGTGAACACTAAATTAAATTTTTTTTTTCAACTGACCCGAGGGAAGGATGAGGATTAATCAGTATTACAGTATTTTGACAGTATATCATGTATCTAAATTACTGAGTGTGAAAACCTTTCCAATAGCCAATCAAATCCTTGTCCAGCTTTTTGACGTGCATCTCGTATGCTGATTGGTGATTTTGCCTCAGAACCGATTCTGTAATGTGCAAACGTCACATCAGTTCTCTGAATGTGTGTATCGTTTTATTTTATTTAATCAAGATCTGAAAAGCCTTTCCTTCTGCAGCCCCTCTGCACTCATTTTATTTTGATTTTACCATCATTTATGATCCCTCTTACTAAAAAAACACCACAAGCATCCACTCAAACGCTACACACGTGACCTTTAGGGTGAAACTGAACAGTGGGGTCAAAGGTGAAGTGTCAGATGTCCATGTTGTTCGTCTCTTCATGGCATTTCATTCTGTCATGGCGTGATCACTGAATGCTGTAACATGTTTTAAAACTTGATCCTGTACGTTTTAAAACAATGTTCTTGACTGAATAACTTTAGTAGGGATTCATCTATATTTATTTAATTTATTATACAAATGTCTGCTTGAAAGAATAAAGAATGCAACTAAATGAAAAACTAAATCAAAATTTGCTGTCAAAATTCACATTGATATATTGGCCCTATACAACAGTTATTAGTGTTATTAATAAATGAATTTGTTTAATGTTAAAAATGCTATTTAGCTTTAAAAAAAAAACAACAACATTAAAATATATTTAATAAACTATTATTAAATATTTATCACTAGAGATATTTGATTCATAACCGTAATCTTTGGCAAAACCATGAGATTAAATATCATGAATGATGATCCGCTCAGTAATTTATTGTATTACAAACTCTAATAAAAGAATCTAATCTCAGTGCGAAATATTTTTACTGTCACCGACTGAATGTTTTCTGTGTGTGTGTGTGTGTGTGTGTGTGGGTGTGTGTTACTCATCCATCTTCTCTCTGTGTTCCCATGGCAGCCGACGACCCCCGGCATCACCTACTCGACCCAACCGACCCACAGACTCCTCCCTCTTTGACTAGTAGCCCCTCCCATTCCCGTGACCAACATCGAGGACACGCCCACCCAGCCAGAACTCCTCCCCTTCCTGCTCCTCATCTCACACACACACACACTAATACACATTCACTTGGACTGCACAACCACTCTACAACCCTCTGTCACAAGTTTAAGTTTTCATTTTGTGTAGGTCACGGATTTCAAACTCATTACATAAGTTCGTTAGGCCAAAAGTTTTCAGTCTTTTAGATGCAAGGGCCTCCAAATATGATGGTGCGAAATATCCTAAAATTTAAAAGGCAGCTATATATTTTTATGTCAAAATACTGAATATACTATTATTCTATTTTTAATTTATATGTATTATTTACTTATTTATTTATTAAATCAATTCATTTATTTAGTTTAATTATATTATTTATTTATTTTCCATATTTTACACTACTTTGAAACCCCTTGTGCAGTGTTGGGGGTGAGTTACTCTAAAAAGTAATTAATTAGCTTCTAATTACATTCACTAGTATAATTAGGTTAATTTACAAATTACTTGCTCTAAAAAGTATTGCATTACTTATTACTTTTATAAATCACATATAAACCTCAACCAGTTGAAAACAGACATGAAAACAGCTCCTAACTCTTTAAATCATATAAAATTGCAAAATTATTCCTCAACTGACCAACGTATTTAAAGGGACAAGGTTACATTAAAAACTTTTAACAATAGATTAAATTAAATTATGTTAAATACACTGTTTTATATAGAGTTGTTCTATAGTTTAAACAGTTTTAAACGGGATTAATTTACAAAAAAATTAAAGTAATCCATTTATTACTTTAATTTCTCAGGTGAAACTCGAAAATTTAGAATACTGTGCAAAAGTTCATTCATTTCAGTAATTCAACTTAAAAGGTGCGACTAATATATTATATAGACTCATTACATGCAAAATTAGATATTTCAAGGCTTTATTTGTTATAATTTTGATGATTATGAAACCTTTTCAGAATATTCAAATTTTTAATTTGGGGTTTTCCATAAGCTTTACTGCATTAGGCTACTGTTCAACCATCCTTTTCGAGAATTGCAGACAATGTACAACATTAAAACCAAAATTCAGAAAAGAAAACTATATGCATCTTTTGGGCCGAAAAATCCAGATCTAGAACACAATGTTTTAATGAACTCAAACTCTTTGACAGATGGTTGATGAGTTTTAAATCACTGTTCATGATATTCACCTTAAAAGGCTCCTTATCCTAAAGAATAAGCTTGACAGGAATATATGAAGGGTTTGATGAATGCCTGTATATTCTGCCATCTTTAAGCTTCTTTTGGTTTTCTTCCCGCCCCGGTTCGCAGACTCTTGATTTTCCACTGTATACGGGATGCATTATCTCTCCAAAGTGTGTTCTGGAGTCTCATGATAACTGCATCTTCTGGAATGTGCTCGTGTGCATTTGTATTTCTGTACATTACTTTTGGCTCTTTTTGTTTTTGTTTCGTATGGGTGTCGGGCTGCAGTGGTCCCTGAGCTCACGGGCCAGAAGACGACACCGAAGGGTAATAAACTTTCCCATAGTTCAACAGTCTTTCCCTGTCTGCATCATGAGCGCCTCATAGTTTGAAAATGATTTAAATGTTGAACCTTAAAACAAACATTAAAGTCATCATTTTCATAGTAGTTCACATGTATTTCAGTATAAAAAACGAAAATATGGTGGTCATAACATATTTGGACACAAATATTAAGCCACAGTTAAATGTGTGAATGTCATCACACTAGTGTAACATGATATTTTACTTAATACAGGTCATGGGATCCAAATGGAGTGTAAAAGTTTAGGCTAATTTAAAAAAATAAATCCAGGCAGATAACCAAAGAATCCAGGAAAAGGACTAGATAATCTAGACATGGGGGAAAACAGAAACTAAAACAAACGGGCATGATGCATCATACGGAAAACCACCAGACAAACAAACAAAACAAAAAACATGGGATGGTAACAAGGAACAGGTGCTAGTGATTAGTTGCTATAGAGATAAAAGGAAGCGAAAACACAGGAACAATAACAAAATTATACATCAAAATAAGAGTCTAAAACACAAGAAAAGAAACCACCAGACTGAAATCATGACAGTGTTTTTCACGAGAATATGTAAGAGGGAACGAAATTTAAAACTGTAAAATTTGAATGAGAACAGACACAAACAGACAGGCTAAGCTCAAGGGCTAACATGTCAATTTGAGACAATTAACCATTTTCCATTATACACACGTCCTTATCATTAAAACGAAATCTTAATTATAAAACTGAGCCGAGACCGGGATCAGTTTGAGTTATTATTTTAATAACTCAAATAATGCGCACGATATTGCCAGATAAACGCAGTACCAGCCGTCAAACTCGTCTTACAAGAACAGAAGAGAGCCTAGGCCACTATAACGTTCAACACTTTGTAAACAGTAATGTTATTTACTGCACGGCGGCAGATAATAAACCAAAAATCCTACCTATTGTCGATACAACAGTGGGATGCTGAAACTCCAAAATGTTTCCTCGTTATTTGACAGTTCACCAAGTCCTGAGTTAAAAACACAATCGTGTGTGGTCACCATCGTAGGTTACGTTTAAAAAATAGTAAAGAAGTCTGATTTTCAACATAAAAGTTAAACAACAGTCCGCTGAGGTGATTTTACCAGACAAACCGTTTGGCGCCAATTTCCTATTTGAATGAAATATTAACGCGGAGTGATACGAGACGTGGGGAAGTAGTACCGGTAATAGGGTTTAACGTACCAGCGTTAGTAGGCCTATATTTTAAAATACAGCATATTTGTCAATATTTAGTGTTGTTGTAGGTTACAGTTAAAATTGTAATGGAATAATAAAAATAAAAAAAACACCTGATGGGCGCTAATTATGTGGGCATATTTGACGTGATTTGCGTGATTGAGGAATCAGAATGAAGTAGAGTTATTCAGAAAGCCATGTAAAGTAAAATGTTTTCAAGCAAATTTGACAAAAGTTTGTACGATGTGAAATTCTAAAACAATAGATCTAGCTGTGATCACAAAGATAATGTAGATCATGCTGATAATTCGGAAGAAAACATTGTAAAATAAATAAACAAAACAATAATGAATGACTGAATGAGGCGTAGCACTTTCATACTGCGCATTACAATCATATCAGGGAATCTCTAATAAATTATTTATTAATTTTATGTATTAAGCTATTAGTTTATGTACTGTTTAATAACAAAAAAAGATTAATTTAATTCCGTAGGCTACACTGCTATAGCTTAATACATTTCAGTCACTCGGGTGACCATAAAATCATATTTTTAAAACATCCTGCTTTTGATTGATTGAATTTTTTAATGACATTTAGACATTTTTAAGTGAACAAATACGTTGTGTGGCCACTATATGACATTTTTATTTGATTATAAATAATCTCTAAACTGTTTGTCAAGAATGAAAGTTATGTTGTAAACAGTAGTATATGTCTCCTGATAGTGATGAGGGAAAGTGGAGTTTGTCTTCTCAGCGTGGACTCTGAGGACACTTCCTAGGGTTTGTTTGTCTGATTTTTAACTGTGTTTTCCCCTTTTTAGCTTTCATGGTCCAGCAGGTCAAACACGAGCAGCCCCGACGGTCCCCTTCTCTCCACGTGACCCTTAAAACACTCTTCTTTCCTGCTTTCTTCTTCTTGGTTTTCCCCCCACATTGAGTAAAACAACCCCAAACCCAGCAGCAACACGAGCAAAAAGAACAAGACGAGATGTTTCCTGAACCCTCGGCTCATCGTCCGGTTGATCGCTATGGTTAAATCTTCTAGAAACTAGAGGCCTTCCCTGGAACAAATCCTTTAAATGACTTCCTCATCGTATTCAAAAGCCATTTATTCCTACACTGCAACAAAAAAATCTGTATTTTTGTCTCATTTTCAAGTAAAAGAGTTTCTTTTGCAGTGTAAAGCTTACAGGTATGAGGACGTGTGTTCACCCTTCGTGATCGTGCACAGAAATCATTGGTTCGCTTAGTTAAATCTGAACTTTTAGTGGGGCTGGATTGAATTTGAGAGTGCAATATAATCACTATACAAGCATGTCATTAAAACATAATAGAGCAGTTTTGGGGTGAACAGACACTTAAAACCTGTTTAATTTATTCCACAAAGGAAGTGTTTATGACATCTGTCATGTCGGGAGGGTTTTCCACACACAGACTGTATGGAATTGAATACTTGCTTACTTTATATACTTGCTGTGCAGTGTGTACTGTATACTGCATACTATTTTCAATGCACAGCATGTGAAAGTGCACTATTCAATGTTAAACACACAATGTTGTCAACTGCATTGGAGCATTTGCAAACTATATACTGCAGAAATACTGATGTTCTCAACATATCCATATACGATTAAATGTGCTGTAAAATGCACATGATGTCCTTCTCAAAGATAGTTTCTTATTGCCTAAAAAAAAATAAAAAATCATTTATGGCATTAAAAGCACGCTTTTTTTTCTGTGTGTGGACAAACTTTCCCCAAAATATGTGCTGTGCATTGAAATTACACACATTTATTTCAAGTCTGATTTTCCTGTCTGTAATTTAGTGTTTGTTATGAAAGCAAAAATGAAGTCTAATATCACTGCAGGTCTACGCATAGAAATCATTATAGTTTGTTTGGTTGAAAAATGAGAAAATATGAGCGCAATCTTCCACACCACCAGTGGACTGTATTTCGTAATTGTGTGGTTTGCTGTAATAATAATAATATTAATAATGAAGCCCCTGTTGCTAATAGTTGACGTTGTGTGGCATGACCAGACCGTCTGCGGTTTCAACTGTGCCGTCGTTTCTGTCTTCAACATTCACACCAAACCTTCCCCGAATCCACTCCGAGTCTTAGTAAAACCCACTTATGAGAAAACAATTACTGTTATTTAAGAGTTCAAATGTGTGTCATGGGCATACTGTATCTTAAGTGTGTCGCGTATCTTTGTGGTGCATATGCATATTGTGACTAGTGTAGTCCACATGTATGATTATTGAATATTAAATTATTATGGTTAAGTGATTTCTTTAAATTAAGCTTATTATCATGTGTAAAGTGAGAGTCTAGAGGAACAAACCCGGGCCTCTTTCTGTGTTTGGACAGAAAGGTGTAACTATATTGAGTGTGTACTGTGTGAATGAATGAATGTAACGTGTCCTCTGCTCACACCAGCTTGTCTGGCAGGGCTGTCATTATTAAAGTTAAGTGCATCAAAACATTGCTTTGTGATGTTTTTCTTGTCGTCAGACGGTCTAAACTCTTAAAAATAAAGAGAATTTGTTCTAGCTTATAAATGTGCCATGCAGCTTTTCTTTCCGGTTTGTATTTCCATGGACACCCATTTTTACAGAGGCGTATTGCATTCACTTGAAGAAAAAAAATCTACTCTGTTTTTCTGAATTAATGAGTTAATTTTTCATGAGAAAATTTTTTTTTTCTCTGTTTTTCTGAATTAATGAGTTAATTTTTCATGAGAAACATTTTTTTTCTCTGTTTTTCTGAATTAATGAGTTAATGTTTCATGAGAAATTTTTTTTGCTCTGTTTTTCTGAATTAACGAGTTAATTTTTCATGAGAAAAAAAGTTTTTCTCTGTTTTTCTGAATTAACTCAGAAATTTTTCTCACGAAAAAATTAACTCATTAATTCAGAAAAACAGAGAAAAACTTTTTTCTCGTGAAAAATTAACTCATTAATTCAGAAAAACAGAGAACATTTTTTTTTCTCATGAAAAATTAACTCATTAATTCAGAAAAACAGCAAAAAAAAATTTTCTCATGAAAAATTAACTCATTAATTCAGAAAAACAGAGAATTTTTTTTTTCTCATGAAAAATTAACTCGTTAATTCAGAAAAACAGAGCAATTTTTTTTTCTCATGAAAAATTAACTCATTAATTTAGAAAAACAGAGTACATTTTTTTTCTTCAAGTGAATGCAATACGCCTCCGTACATTTTGGCCACATAAGAAGAAAAAAAAATACTTTGATTAATCATAATTATGACATGAAGCGTCAAGTGACAAAAAGTCATAATTATGAGGTAAAAAAGGCACAATGACATGAAGCCGATAAAGAGATCTCACAATTTGAGTCATAAAAATGATGGCATAAATCGTGCAACTTAGTACCATAATTTTGACTTTGATTTACTAAAGCATGATCTTTTTTTCCCTTACACAACAGGCATATTTTCAGAAAGCAAAACCTTGACTAATTTTCCAGCTCGTTAATCTATATTTCAGCCTGCATTATTTCAGCTTATAATTTAGGGTGAAAAACTACATTACCCATGATGCTGTGCAAAACATTCCACCAATCAGAGTCGGAAAAAGCAAGCTCAAAGTCCCTGTGAATTGTTCACCACAAGACTAGTAATATGCGCTAACAAAGTAAATAGTTTCAATTTTGATTTCACGGGGACTTTAAAGTTCTCATATGCTCCGCCCACTCCCACGAATCACTGCGAAAGACATAATCGAGACTATCTCTAAATAGGCTACATAAACACACTACCGGTCAAACGTTTTAGACCGGTAAGATTTTTTAAATGTTTTTAAAAGAAGTCTCTTCTGCTCACCAAGGCTGCAATTATTTGATACAAAATAAAAAAATAAAATAAAAAAAAATCGTAATATTGTGAAATATTATTACAATTTAAAACAGCGGTTTTCTATGTGAATATAATAGTGAAGTGTAATTTATTCCTGTGATTAAAGCTGAATTTATAGCATCATTACTCCAGTCTTCTTCAGTGTCACATGATCCTACAGAAATTATTATAATATGATGCTCAAGAAACATTTATGATTATTATCCATGTTGAAAACAGTTTTAAAATATATAAAAAAATATATAATAAAACTATATATAAAATATATAATAAAACAATAAAATAAACATTTTATTTCAGGATTCTTTGATGAATAGAAAGTTCAAAAGAACAGAATTGATCTGGAATGGAAATTAAGCTTTTGTAACATTAATCACTACCATTCAAAAGTTTGGGGTCAGTAAGAATTTATTTTTTATTTTTTTTTTGGGGAAAGAAATTAGAAAATTCTTTTATTCATCAAGGATGAGTTGAATTGATCAAAAGTTACAGTAAAGGACATTTATAATGTTAGAAAAGATTATATTTTAAACAAATGCCGTTCTTTTGAACTTTCTATTCATCATAGAATTTTTTGGGTGAAAAAAATGGTGCACGACTGTTTTCAACATTGAAAATAATAATTGATGTTTTTTGAGCATAAAATCAGCATATTAGAATGATTTCTGAAGGATCATGTGACACTGAAAACTGATGTGTAATCAGCAACAATAATGATGTTCAAAATTCAGCTTCAAATTACACTTTAAAATGTATTAAAATAGAAAAGAGTCACTTTAAATTGTCCTAATATTTCACAATATTACATTTTTTTTCATCAAATAAAGCAGCCTTGGTGAACAGAAGAGACTTCATTTAAAAACATAAAAAAATCTTACTGATCTAAAACTTTTGACCAGTAGCATATTTTTGCAATAAACTTACAATGTTTTTATATACACTAACATTTAGTTTTTAATTTGATTGTGCTGTTTGCAATGCTTCGTGGGATTGTAGTTGTTTCCGTCACTAAAGCCGTTGTCTTGTACTTTTGTCTTTTCTGCTTCGACTGTAGTTTCTCAGTGGAAAGTTGATTAAAATCGCATTATAAACAATCACACGACTTCATTAACCTCAGACACTGAACAGGTTTTGCTTTGCTCAATCAGGTTTATTTAGGAGGAAAATCACCACATGAAACAACTCGTTATTCCTTCACGTGTTCCAGCGGTCGTAATTAAAACAGATTAGTGTGTAATTCATCATTATCCCAAATAAATAGAATTCTCCTTTAGTTCAGCTGTCGTATGAAACCACACAAACGGCGCGTCCTTTCTCCCCACAAGATCCTCTTCATCACTCCCATGAATATACAGTATGATACACAGTTACACTATTTACACATCCGTCACATCAACGAGCTCTGCGAAATAATAAACTTGATCTGGAAATATCGGATTAAAGCCCACGCCCCAAAATAATCACTGTAAAACATATCCATACTCGCAGATAGAAACGCATAAAGCTTGACGTTTACAGATGTGGCCAATAAAAGTGCTTTAAGGGTCAAACAAACACCCCGTTACTTCAGACCGAACACAGCATTCAGATGTGAACACACTTTTCCAGTTACAACACACATACAGGTGCAAAAGTTCATTTATTTCAGTAATTCAACTTAATATATTATATAGACTCATTACATGCAAAGTGAGATATTTCAAGCCTTTATTTGTTATAATTGTGATGACTATGGATTACATCTTATGGAAAATATTCACTTTCGTTTTAAAATTATCTTTCATATCTGTAATCCATAATCATCACAATAACAAATAAAGGCTTGCCTTGAAATATCTCACTTTGCATGTAACGAGTCTATATAATATATAAGTTTCACCTTTTAAGTTGAATTACGGAAATAAATGAACTTTTGCACCAGAGTTTCACCCGTATGCCATCACTTTCTATGAAGCCTGAGTGTAAATGTAAATTCTACGTAATAACGTGTGGTGTTTTTGTATATACCTGTAAGCAGACTGTGATATGCATATACTTCTAAAGAGATGAACGCATTTAAAACAGCCTTATGCAACTCTTCAAAGGTGTAGCCGTGAGAGGAGCGTGTTTTTGTGTGCATGAGTGTTATCGAATCCGCCCATGATGCTCTTGAAAGTGTCTGACTGTTTAGAGATGAACTAGGAGGAATTATTAATATCATTTCTGTACAGCTCTCATAAACTTGAATCATTCACTCGACATCAACGAACGACTCCGAACTCTCGGCCGACGGCGTCATAGAGTTCACACACAACCTCCAACGTGTGGGATGGGGAAAACACAAGGTGAAAAAAATATGATAACATCTTTCAACAAATCCCAATATTGGCCAAAGAGAAACTGAATTTGAACTCGGTTTTCTTCTCGAAGCTCTATGCTTTACAAACACTTCACAACCTTAATCTTTCAGAAAACACTTGCTCTAATCATATCATATAATAGTGTCATGTAACGAGTTCACAATCTTGATATGAATCTTCACTGATTGGCCAGGAAACGGTCTATTGCACCACCTATGTTTGATAAAGTGAACTAATCGCACAGGTCGAGCAGCGAGAACTGATATTCGTATTCACACAAACCAAAATGGAGACTTTCAGAATCAAGATCTCTCTGGAAACAGAGAAACTAGACGTCCACATCCCGAAGCGGAGCAGGAACGCAGATTCGGCTTTCAGACCACCAGAATCTTGACCTCGTCGCGTTCGTCGGGCCGGTAGAAGAACGGGATGCAGGGGTTCTCCCCGAGGAATGGAGCCGGCCGGGCCTGAGGATTCTGGATCTCCTGCAGGAGCTGCATGATCTGACGGGCCGTCCCGTCCTCTCGGGGTCTCAGCGACGGGTCCGCCGCGGATCCGGGTCTCTCCGAGCTCTCGGGGTCTGTGCTGGACTGGACCGGTGAGGACACGTCCACCGCTGTGCTCATGTCCAGAACCGCTGCGGGATTAAACATAAATAACGTCAACTAATCTGGAAAAATGAGTGATTCGATTCAGTTCAATAACACTGTTGATGTAGAAAAAAAATTATTATTTTATAAAATTATCAATTATTAAACAAAGTAGTTCTATGGAAGTGGAGAGAATGAGGAATCTGCTATAAACAGGGTTCGTACGGAGCCAGCAAATTAAATTAAAGGCTTTTTAAGGACTTTAAGCACTACTTTTTTGGTTTACAATCAGCGATCTCACTTATAAAACAAAATCTCTCAAAAACTAAAAAAGAAAGAAAAATAATAAATGGTAATAATGATTTGTTTGTTTTAATAATAAAACAAAATGGTACAAATAAAGTGCAGGGTAACTTTAATCTAGAGCCAGACCGATATTATCGGCCGATATTAGGCATTTTCCAAACTATCGGTATCGGCGGTTATAATGGCCGATAAATGAATATTTCAAAAATAAAATAAAAACGGACGAAACACGCTTGAACCATGTCATGAGTGTTGGAGTTGTATAGTTTGTCCACCAGAGGGCGCTCTACACCGTTCCTGTTGGCAACACTCGTTGAGTTGGTCATTGCTTGAATAACAATTAAAAGAACGTCCCCATCAGTTCTCTGAA